CTAATCCACCACATTAAAATAAGACAACTTGTTACTGTCTTAATTAAATATGACTTATCCAACTTAAAACATATGGAAAAAAGAGATATATGTAAGGATGGTAAGTTTATACAGTGGAACCATGAAGACAGAGAATGTGGCCTTTGTATTTTACCTAAACTTACTTTTGAGCATATAAAGTTGACAAAATATTTATTAAAAAGTGTTAATTTTGCTGCCTAAGTAATAAGTTTTTGCTGTATTAAAAATTTTATTACATTATGGAAAAGCTTGTCTGAAGATTATTTCCGACACTAACAATCACTTAGTGCTTGCAAGGGTAACCTATCATTTAATAACTTTCAATAATAACAAAATAAAAAATATTTTTAGTAGCTGGAAATGTAATGTATTTACCTACACGGGTATTATAGAGTGGTAGTAATGTAGTATTTAGTCATGCCAAAAAAAAAAAAAGAAGTTATTAGATTTGTTCAAAACTAAATATTTTTTAGATATGTAAAATAGTAGTGTTGTCATTATTATTTTAAAATGAAAAAGACAATTATATTATTTTTATTACTCAATCTTTTATTGTTGTTTTATTACAAAGTTACTACACCATAAAACTATTAAATATACATGAAGCATTTATTGTACTAATCTAGGAGCTAATTATATACCAATAATATTTAAAAAAAATATGTGGCTATGAAAATAGCCGTTTTAGTAGGTTCATCTCACTTTTTCTTTAATGTTTTTGTTCCAAAATATTCCAAATTATTCCAAAAATAGAGGGTGTTTTTTAATTGATGTTCTTTATATATCAATTTAGTTTGACTTTTTTGAATTTTGAAAGCTTTCAGGTTATATTTTGCAATGTACAATCTACGAACTTGTATGTAAAATGTTAGATGATCATGCATACTTAGCTGCAAGCAAATACGATAAACACTGCTCATTATACAACTTGACATGTTAGAATTAAAACCAATTGTAAAATTAGAGGCACCAAAAACATTCCCACTAAGTCATAATAGAATGTTTTGTTTAGTAATGTAGAGGAATACATGCTTAAATGTTATAATATCATTGATAAAAAAGGTGCCAGTCAAATAAACAAAGACAAGATTTGCTACTTCAAAGCATAAAAGAAATTGTTTTTTCAGAAAAAATATACATATATTTATTATATATATATTCATATATTTATATATATGTATGTATATATATGTATATATATATATATGTTTATATATATATATATATACATATGTATATGAATATATATATATATATATATATATATATATATATATATATATATATATATATATATATATATATATATATATATATATATATATATATATATATATGTATATATATATATATATATATATATATATATATATATATATATATATATATATATATATATATATATATATATATATATATATATATATATATATATATATATATATTATGTTTCACTACGTGAAGCAAAATGTTGAAAGCCAAAATTGCAAAGAAACCTTTTATATATAAGAAAAATTTCTATTATTCTCTCTTTATCATTAATTAAATTTAATTTAGTTAAATGTTTAAAGTATATGTTTTTAATATTTTGAACATTTTTCATCATACTGACTTTTTTTAAAAAAATAGTCTCAGTATAATGAAAAACTTTACTTTTATTTTTAGCATTTAATTTTTAAATAAACCATTTCTTATTAGAAGTATTTTAGTAGTCAGGCATTTAATTTTTTTCGTTATTTTTACCTGAAATACAAAAATTAATGGTGTTCTAATAATGATTTTTCATGTGCATCTAAGTTTTTTTTATTATGTTAATTTTGTAAACTATAATGTTTGAAAAATGATACAATAGCATTTGGAAATAAAAGAAAATGTAATTTTAAAATTCATTTTAAATTGAAAAGCTTGCATGAAAATGTAACTACAATGTTTAAAAAACAGTACAGTCGCACTTTGAAATATTTAATCGCGTTTCAACTTCTTTTTATTAAATTTGATAAAATTAAATTAACGCACTGTAATGTACTCATTGTTAAAGGGATCCCCAACTGCCGAGATAAGTTGTGTTCATATTAAAGAAAATGTTTAAAAAAAACATTTGGACTAAATTTTTTTGATTGAAACTAAATAATGAATGCATACCAACAAAATTAAAATTATCGTTTTAGTCGAAGCTCACCTTTCTTTATTTTTTTTTGGTTCTCGGAGTCTGTATAATGTTAGCTGCAATCTGCAGGCTTGATAATTTATTTCATGTTTGTTAATTCATAACAGTTTCGGTATATGATGTCATCGCAATATCTTTTTAAGATAGCATTTTTTTGTTGTTGTTTTTTAAAAGATATAAGTATTTTTTCTACTACAATCCACTCTACTACAGCTATCCACTATCTACTACAGCCATTCACAGTGGCTGGTGAACTTTAATTCAGATAAAACTCAATTTTTTTCAGCCAATTGTTATCGCAATTATTTAGGTCTTATATTTATGAACGGTAATGTACTCGATGAGTCTCCTACCCTTCATCTTCTAGGATTAACTCTTACTTCTGATCTTTCTTGGAAACCTTATATCAAATCCGTTGCAAAATTAGCATCTGCTAAAGTTGCTTCTCTTTATCGAGCTCGTCACTTTCTTACTCTGGATTTTATATCTCTATAAATCTCAAATCCAGCCTTGTATGGAATACTGTTGCCATATCTGGGGCGAATCTTCTAATGATGCCCTTTCTCTTTTAGACAAGGTGCAAAAATGCATTGTAAACATAGTTGGACCTGCTCTTGCAGCCAACCTTCAACCTCTGTCACATCGTCGTAATGTTGCTTCTCTTTCTCTTTTTTACAAATACTATAATGGGCACTGCTCTAAAGAGCTAGCGTCTCTTGTGTATTTACTAAAATTCATTCTCGTGTTACTCGTCGTTCAATAAAGTCTCATCTTTTTTCTGTTACTGTTCCTAAGTGCTCCAAAAACTCTTATTCGTCTAGTTTTTTTCCTCGAACATCAGTTCTTTGGAATTTGCTTCCTTCATCTTGCTTTCCTGATTCATATAATTTGCAATCTTTTAAGTCGTCTGTCAATCATTATCTTGCTCTACAATCTTCATCTTTTCTCTTCCAGTAACTTCCAACACTAATTAGTGGTTGCTTGCAGCCTTGTTGGAAGCGAAGATAATTAAAAAAAAAAAATCAGAAAATCAAATATTTGTATAATTTTTTACTAAATCACAAAAAATATTTTTTTGCGATTTAGTAGAAAAGCCAGCCAAAATTATGACACATACATATTTTGTGATTATTAGAGTTCGCAGGCAGAGAAAAAATAAAGGCAGTATGATGCAGTTTTTTGTTTTATATTTAGTTCATATGGTTTAATAGAGTTGTTCGTTTTATGTTTAATTTACATTTAGTTATGGTTAAACTCTTTCACTACCGCAAGCATGGTATTGGTAGCAACATTTGAGTATGCTTTACAATTTATCTTGTTTTTTACATTAATTTATAGAATTTGTTTGTTCTAAAGGTTCAATTCATTCTCTACATAATCAAGAAAAAATAAGTGCTATATTGTGTAATTATAAGAATGTTATTACAAAGTTAAAAAATCTTGAATAAACCTTCATAAAAAAAACTTCTTTAAATTTAGTTATAAAATAAAACAGCGTTAACACTGTTAAACTTAACTTATGTTAAGTATTTAGTTAAGTAATTACCAAAGTCTTTTGAAGAAAAAATATTAATTTTATTCATTAAATGAGGTTTATTTTGGACTTAATGTTTTAGTTACTTACAAAAACAATAGTTTTAACTTTGCATTTATTATTGTTTAATGATGCGTATTAAAAGCTTTATTATTATCAAATTTTAATTAATTGTTAATGTTATGGTATTAGTCGTTTAATAATTATTTTTTACTTAGTTCAGTTAATATGTTTTATTCAAGTCGCTCGTTTTTTATTCAGTTTAAATTAATTTATGCGCTTTTGTAAAATAATTCTTTTAGTATCTAGTTTATATTTAGTTAAACCACTATGTTTACTGTAAATATTCGTTATATATTAAATTTTTATTTTATAAATTTTATAAATTTAATTTTTAATTGCATCATAAATTTTTTTTGGGATTTAGTAAAAAGTTATACAATAAAAATGATTTGGTGATTGTGGCAAAAAAATAATACAGCATCTTGAAAGAAAAAATTTATACAATGGTGTCATATACTAAAATTGTTATGAATTAAACACGCATAGAATAAATTATCAAGTCTGCAGATTATGGCTAAAATTATACAGACCAAGAACCAAAAAAAAAAAAAGGAGATGGCAAGCATTGACTAAAATGTGAATTTTAAATTTAATGATGTGCATTCATTTTATAGTTTTAATTAAAAAAATTCAGCCCAAATGTTTTTTTTAAACATTTTCTTTAATATAAACACAACTTGTCTTGGCAGTTGCAGATCCCTTTAAACAAAGTGTATACTACTTTAAATGCCTTTTGAAAATTTCTTTTAAATAATTGCAAGGAATAAAATCTTTATAGATTAAAATATATTTTTAAATATGAGTACACTTTTGTAAGTAACAAAGGTTGTCCTACTACTAAAAGGCATTTTTAGAAAATTTCAGTCACTTTTGGTGAAAATGAGTTGTCCTTTGCTACCTGACAACCTTGAGAGTACACCCCTGTATGCATGAGAGTACACCCCTGTATGCATGAGAGTACACCCCTGTATGCATGAGAGTACACCCCTGTATGCATGAGAGTACACCCCGTATGCATGAGAGTACACCCCTGTATGCATGTTTTTATTTAGCTTTAAGTCTAATACGCTAACAACTCTATAAATAGTTTTTTTGAGTAAAAAAATATTTTATCAAACTATTTAAACAAACTATTTAAAAAAATGGATTTTTGCAGTTTACTTATTGTTCTGTTATATTTTATTCTGTTATATTATATTTTATTCTATATTTTAGTCATTTTGGGGTTTTTTTGCTCTCCGTGGTTTGGTTGGGATTGGTGAGGCAAGCTACTCAACAGTTGCACCAACAATTATTGCTGATTTGTTTGTTGGTTCACAAAGAAGTATAGCTCTTACAATATTTTATTTTGCTGTGCCTTGCGGAAGGTAGACCTTAGTTCTTAAAATTTACACTAATTTTTTTTTAATATTATGAGAATTTGTAAGTAAAAGCAGGGACCCAGTGTCCCCAGAGGCTATGCAGGATTCCCACATGAGCTTTTCACTTTTTTAATTTAAAGATAGGTTTTTTAGCACCTTTTTTTTTGGCATTCTGAAAAAAATCTATTTATTTTTAAAATAATAAAACAATTAAATAGGATTTTTAGAAAAATATGAAATACTTTTCAATTAAGATTAATAAAACTATGATGTAAAAACTTTTTATATTTAAGGTATGTAGATTACAGGACCATTTTTTAGAATGCTGTGGTGTGTTTATGCTTTGCAAAAATGCTAGAATTAAACAAAAGTGTAAACTATCTATAAAAACATTTTCTCATTTTTCAAGAAATTTTTTTTTATAATTACCTTATATATATATATTTTATGACAACTTATATTATGATAAAATGAACAACATTACTTAATAAAACTAAAATCTTTCATTTTTAATTTTGTGTTAATGTTTTTCAAACAAAAAAAAATCATACTTCAAGCCTTCCCAGGAAAGACGTGCGGTTTTTTGTCTCGTACGTCCACGAAAACGTTTTTTAATTTAGACAACTTGATCATGGTTGTTTGCGCAAGTTTTATATATATTTTTATATATATATGCATTGCTGAAAAATTGTTTTAAATTTAATAATTACATGAGAAATTAAAGTAAACTTAAATAGAAAACAATAATAATAGTTTAAATAGTTTGTGTATTGTTTTTATTTTTGTTTTTTCTTAGTGGTTATTATTATTGGCAACAAAATTCAGTAAGTCAAAGCAAAAAAAAAAAAAAAAAAAATGGTTTTAAGCGTTAAAAAGGATGACTTTCCCATATTTTATGTATTTTTTCTTTTAAAGAGGAAAGAGAAAATATGTATCGCCATCTGTTTGTAAAATATATTTGTATAATTATAATGTAACAAGTTTATATCAAGAGTTAAATTATACGATTGCGATTTGCAAACTCTAGAAAAATATTAGGTCTTTAAAATTTTAGTTCAAGCAAAGCTGTGTACTTTGTTTATAAGGAGCAAATTATCAAAAGTTTGCTAGCGAGAAAGTTACAAAAAACAAAACAAAAACAATAAACTTACGACTACAAAAGTAATAACACTTTAGTCACTAACTGCATTATAAAAGTTATAAAACTATAATAGTGTTATTACTTTTATAAAGCATTTATTACTTTTAAAGTTCATTCTTTGTTCAAACAACATTATTAATTCCAAACATTTATTAAAGTAGAAAAGCATCTAGAAAAAATAAAGCGGATATTCAAATATTATTAAAAATTTTAGGAACTTTCACAGGTCACTTAAACATTGTTATAAAAAAGTGCTTAATAAAAAGTATAGCATTATAAAAAACGTTACGTAAAAATGCGTGTTAATTTTAAAATCAATCAATAAAAAATTTTTATTGGTTAATTTTAAAATTAATGCACGTTTTTACGGTCCATTAGTAACGTTTTTCATAATGCTAAACTTTTAATACGATGTGTTTTTATAATGTTGTTTGTCACATTTTTATAAGTTATTTAAGTTTTAAATATTATTTAAACATCCACTTTATTCTTCTATATATTTTTCTACTTCAATTAAAATTTGGGATTACTTATGTTGCTTGAACAAAGAATGAATTTTAAAAGTTATAAGTGCGCTATTTTAAAAGTAATAACACTATTATAGTGTTATTACTTTTGTAATGCAGTTAGTGACTAGAGTGTTATTGCTTTTGTAATCGTAAGTTTATTGTTTTATTTTTTATTTTTTTGCTTACAAATTTAAGTTGATTCTCCCCTTAAAAACATTTGCGCGTTTTTGTATAAACTAAAATTTTGAGTACTAGATATTTTTCCAGATTTTGCGTTTTGCATTCGCTTAATTCAACCCTTGTTGTTACATTAAAATTATACAAATAAATTTTGCTAACACATTGCAATTTGTATTTTTGCTATCCTCTTAAAAAAGTTAAAAAAAGGAAAATCATTCTTTTTATTGTAGACTTCAAACTGTTTTTTTTTTTTTTGTTGCTTTGCCTTATCTAATTTTGTTGCTGAATGCAACAACCACTCTAAAGAAACAAAAATAAAAACAATACACAAATTATTTAAATTATTAATTTGTTTTTATTTTTTTCTATTTCAATCTCTTTTTATTTTCTTAGTTTAGTTTTTTTGTTTTTGTTTTTGTAACTTTTTCAGCATTGATTATTATAAAACTATATTATTTAAGACAAGTTAAACACGGCAATCGGCCGTGTTCAAGTTGTATTAAATAATATACTTGTGTGTGATCATACAAGATGAAAAACCGCACGCCTTTCCTGGGAAGGCTTGTACTTGGTTACAATAACTTTGTGGCAAAGTTGTATTTTAAGGAAATCAAAACAAAAACAGTGGCTGCAACGCATTGTTAACGGTTTTTAGTTTTAAAGTATTACCAATTTGTTGATTTCTATTATAAACTTCAACTTAAAAAATCTAAGCTCAAAAAACTAAAATTGGAAAAGGAAAATATATTTGTATTATGTTTTTTAAAAAGCACTATCCTATGCGGAATTTTTTATAATGTTTTTTTTTATAAAACTTTTTCTACGATTATTTTTATAAACAGTATCGAAAAACTTGTGCAAAAGCAAACATTACATAACATTACATAACTCAAATTTAAAAGTGTAATAAAAAATACTGGTTAACATTGGTTACTACAAGTATTAAAAAAACTATTATGTTAAAGGTTTTATAAAATATTTGTTTAAAATTTATAAAAACCATCAGACAAAAAATTTAAAAAAATATAAATTTAAACTGATAATTAATTGCAACATTTTAATATAAATGATAAAAACTGGTCTTCTTAAATAAAATAAAAAATTAATACCTAGGCGTCTTTTAAAAAATAAATTTGCTCAAAAAATGACGAATTTTATTATCGAAGGTTCATTTTCTCTATTATATAAAAAATAAAAAGTTCAAAAAATGAAGGTTATACTGAAGTTAAAACTAAATTTATTAATAATTTTGGCACCACTAAAATAATTATAAAATAAATGTACACAAAATATGAGTTGGACAAAATGACAGATAGATGTGGTTTTTTATTGGACATGTATAGACCTTTACATCTATCATATATGGTAAAATCCAGCATATATAGGTTTTTTTAATGAAATTCCGCATGGACTTTTTACAGCCACCACGCCCCTGAGTGGAAGTTATTATTATCACCATTTTTCTCAAACCTTTAAAAATTTTTTTTTTACATATACATAAAATTGAAACATTTAAAACTTTTTGCATAAAAAAAAGGTTTTTCTGAAAAGTCTTTATTAATCAAACACTGTGTAAAATGAAAAAAAAATTGATAAATGATTGCTCTATTTTTTTAAGAACATTATGTACATTATTATACTATGTATAATAATGTATAGCTATGTAAAGTAATGAATGCATATATTATATGTACATTATGTAATAGCATGTTTTGTATATATGTCAGTATATATATATGTATATATGCAGTGACGCATACAGAAGTTTTTTGGGCATACTGGTCTGTCTGTGCTTTGAGGAGCTTCTTTTTTTTTAGCAATTAAAAAGGTAATATCTTTGGATTTTCCAATTTGAAATTTTAATTCACATAATAAAGTTCATCAAGACTTTTTTTAAAGTTTAACACTGACTTATTAAGTTCGACATCAAACCGCACATTGTTCTAAATTGGAATAATATGATTGGAAAAAAAATTTCTTCTAATTGGGTGTCTACAGGTATCAGAAGTTTATCTATGATTGTGGATATAGTTACGAACACTTCCAGCTGGTCCAGTTGGTCGACAACTAAAAAGTTCCATAGGGAAGATATTGTATTTAGCTGATATTAATTATTACGACATTTAAAATTAAATCGCTTACTCTTCTCATAGATAAGATTGTTAAACTAAGTTAAATTTAATCTTTCGTCATAAAGAAGCTCTGAATATCCTGGAATTAGTTTTCTTGCTCTATGTTGAACTCCTTCAATAAGATTAATGTCTTTTTTAAAAATGGTTTCCAAATAGAAGACGCATATTCTAGATGAGACTAGCAAAACATATAACAATTTAATTATATCAGTATTTGAAAATTAAAACATTTGTTGAATAAGACCTTAAATTCTATTTGCTTTAGAAACACGCAGATATACGATGACCATATTTCAGATTGCTTTTAAACATGATACCAAGATCATTTACACAGTCCACAGTACTCAATTCTCAATACTCAATTGACAATCAGAAATGTAATATTTATTGATATTTTTATTTAATTTATTACTTTTATTGATATACATTATTTTACATTTTTCTATATTTAGTTGCATACTCCAGTCATTGCACCAGTTGAAAATAGAATTTATATCATCCTGTAGATTATGTCTACTGTTATCATGGATTATGTGGAAAACTTTGCAATCATCAGCATAGAGCTTGCGTTAATTTTTTAGTTTATCTGGAAGGTCATTAATATAAATTAAAAACAAAATTGGTCCCACAACAGATTCTTGTGGTACACCATTTAAAACATTAAGCCACGTAGAAGCAATGTCTTCAAGAACAACTCTTTTTCTTCTATTTGATAAAAAAGACTCAATCCATTTAAGAATGAATCCCTTTATGTCGTTTATTTCAATTTTTAATATAAGTTTTCTATGGTGAACTCTGTCAAATGCTTTAGAAAAGTTAGTAAAAAGAATATCAATAGGATCTTGATTAGAGTTACAATATCTGTTAGAGTTACAATATCTTGTTAGAGTTACAATATCTGTTAGAGTTACAATATCTTGTTAGAGTTACAATATCTGTTAGAGTTACAATATCTTGGCTTTCAAGTAAATTTGTAAAGCAAGGTTTACCAGGTAAAAAACTATGCTGATTCTTGTTTATCAAACTATTGGCTAAAAGATGCTG